AGAGCGTTGACCTGCGGACTGAAGGGTCCCAGGTTCGATTCCGGTCAAGGGCATGTACCCTGGTTGCGGGCACATCCTCAGTGGGGAGGTGTGCAGGAGGCAGCTGGTCAATGTTTCTCTCTCATTGATGTTTCTAGCTCTCTGTCCCTCTCCCTTCCTCTCTGTGAAAAATCAATAAAATATATTTGAAAGGAAAGGAAAGGAAAGGAGAGGAAAGGAAAGAAAAGGAAAGAAGAAAAGAAAAGAAAAGAAAAGAAAAGAAAAGAAAAAGGGCCTTTGGCCTCAGGGACACGAAGGGCACAAAGGTGAGCAGAGCCCCTGCGAGTGGAGTCGGGCACCCGGGCGCCGACAGCACCGTCCGAGGTGGGCAGTCACCTTCCCATGTGGCCTCCCTCGAGCCTGGCGGGGTGGTTGGGAGGGCAGCGTCCTCACATGACGGTGCCCCCAGGAAGGCCATGCCAGGAGGGAGGCTCGACACCCCGTGAGCCGAGGGGGATGCACCTCGAACCCTGAGGCCTGAAGAAGCAGTTACCCTGTGACAGGGGCTCTGCGGCCTCCTGATGACCCAGGAGAGGCGAGGACGAGGGCCGGATCTCTACCCCGGGGGGCGCTCTTACCGTCACCCTTCCCAGAACGTCACAGAGCGGACAGGCCGGCGGTGGGCCACATCCAGGCAGGGGGAGGGAGTTTCGGCTGGAGGAGCATTTGCTTGGGTGGGAACCTGTCGGCTCCCAGTGCACCCACGCCCTTTGTGCCCTGCCGGCTTCTAGGCATCGGGCAGCAACGATGAGTGGCGCGGAGTGCTTGCCTTCAAACCCTCCCCAGGCCAGTCTGGGACGTGGACATAGAAAGAGGTCATTTCAGCCCGGCTGGCGTGGCTCAGGGGTTGAGCGTCGACCTATGAACCAGGAGGTCGCGGTTGGATTCTGGTCAGGACACAGGCCGGGGTTTCGGGCTGGATCCCCAGTGTGGGGTGTGCAGGAGGCAGCGGATCAGTGATTCTCTCTCATCATTGATGTTTCTATCTCCCTCTTCCTCTCTGAAATCAATAAAAATATATTTTTTAAAAAGCGGTCATTTCAGGGCAGTGTGAGAAGTACCCACTGAGGGAAGGGTGGGTGAGTGGGGGTAGGGGTGGCTGTGGGTGGGGGGTGATGGCTGTGGGAGGAAGGAGAGCCTGAGTGAAGGTCTCCCCTATTCTGTGGACTCCAGGGGCCCCCGCAGCAGCACCTGGGAGCGGCCCATGTCCCACTGAGCCTTTGCAGGTGAGCCCGGGAGCATCCCACCCCCAAAGGGCAACGGGAAGGCGGCCCTGCCCCCACCCCACTCTCCCTGGCACAGCCACAGCTTCCTCTTTGTCACTTTCACTTGGTACCTTGATCCCCAAACAGGAACTGTTGCAGAGCCCATGGGTGGAGCCACTGGGGACCTGCAGGCCCCAGGGACAGCCCACAGTGTCCGCCCCTCCCCCTCCAGGCCAGCCTAGCAGAGGACCTGGGGCCCGGTCCAGGGCAGGCCTGTCCCTTCAGTGTGTGCATCTGCCTGCCCAGCCCGCGCGCCCCCCCCCCCCAGGTGCCAGTGTGTGCAGTGACCCTGGAAGGGGGGTGACTCCAAAGTCACCACAGCTGTGACCGGGAAGCCAGGGAATTCCCATCTGCAAGGCTCTGCCATCGGCAATATGGGTGGGGGGGAGGTCTTTCCCCATCTCCCTCTCAACCTGAAATTTGTAAAAAATATATTTTTTATTTTTTTCAGAGAGGAAGGGAGAGGGCGAGAGAGAGAAGCAGCAATGATGAGAGAGAATTGATCGGCTGCCTCCTGCACGCCCCACCTCGCCCAGCTCACAGGGCCCACCCCGCCCAGCTCACAGGGCGGCTCTGAGTCCTGACCACCACGAAGTGCAGGCTCCCGCTTGGGGGTCCCGCACACTTGCAGCTCATGTTGGTTTTCCTTCTGAAACCCACGTTTTAATCCCAAGAAACCTCCGATCGGCAAGAACTGAGATGGAGCCTGCGTATTAGGGAACGCGTCCCGTGTGGATCGGTTCCTCAGGCTGTTGTAACCGACCCCACAGACGGAGAGGCTTAAACAGAACCGTAGGGCCTCAGCTCTGGAGGCCACAAGTCCAAGATCAAGGTGTCCGCAGGGTCGGTTCGTTCGAGAAGGCTCTGCTGGCGGCTCCTGCCCCTGCAGGGAGGGAGGCACTGGGGTGCACACAGCAGCGCGCCCAGGAAGGAAGGCTGTGGCCCCAGTGCCCCGCGACGCCCCGAATGCCTATTGGGTAACTTTGGAAGGAACGTGCGGGGCTCTCTGGGGGAAATCCGCATTGAAATGAAGAGGCTTGAAGACATTTGGGAAACGGACATCGGGGACTTCCCTTTGGTTACGGGTTAGGCAACCCACCAACATTAAGAAAGTTCTTGAGTAGGATGATAAGAAAGGCTGAGCCCTGCTGCTTTGGGGGAAGTTATCGGGGCCTCCTGGAGCCTCCACCCTGGGCCCCACCCCTATCCCATCCCCTA